TAAACCCTCCCACTGTGATACACTTCCTCAACAAAACCACACCTCCTAATCGTGCCCCAATAGTTCTAACATGTGGGGACTAAGTATTCAGCTTATGAAAGCCATTCCCATTAAGCCACCTCAGCATCCAATTTACTGTTCATATTCTATTCACATTGTCTCTGACTCTAGAACATACATATCCCATGCTTCATTCATGTTTCTCTCATGATTCTGGGCATGTTTGGTGCTCAGTGAGGGGTGCAGGAAGGATTTGTGAATGATGACAGTGGAAGACAAGATTTGGGCACTCTGGAGGGCTTTTCATATGATTGAAATGGCTGAATTATTTGGTGGTGAGGTATGGAATGTGGTCATATGTAAGGGACAAATTATATCTTTAGGCATGTGTAACAGTAGGTGCTGGATAGCACAGATACTCAAGTGTTGAAACATAGATCCTGTTGAGGACTAGGGACATGGCTCAGTGGAACTGCTGGTGTTTAGCATACCTGTGGGGACTTGTGATCCCAGTTCACCTAGATAGTTAACTAAGGAGGGTAGGCAAATCCTTCTACTGTTATGGTCCAGCTTCAACAGTTCAAACAAAATTTAGAAAATAAAAAAGGGGGAGTAATGTCCCCAGTCCCCACATGACTCATCAAATAATACACTCCTCATTTAAAAATTTTTAAAATGTGAATGCCAGTGAGCAATCTGCTTCAGACAGATTCTGGCATGATGGAACTTGAGCAACTATTGCTCAGGTCAAATGGAGACATCCATGCACTAGACAGTGGAGAAGACCCTAATTTGGGGTCGAGGGCATGTTTGTGTTTTCTTGCAGTAAAGGAATAAAGCTAGGCAGCTGTCAGAACATTTGGTGAGATGCATGGAGCAGAGAAAAACTGGACCTGAGACCGTGGGAGCCTACCTAAGCCAGTATGAGTGAGATCTCCTAAATCAGTGTTCCTGACCCTTGATGTCATCGAATCTACAGCCCGAGAAAGAAAGAAAACAGTTGGTTTGAGATTTCCAGTTTCTCAACAGGCCTGCTGCATCAACCTCCCGGACCCGTGAGGTTTCATCCCAAAGCCAACAGAGAACTGGAAGATTAACAGTCTGCCCTTGACACACCTTGAAACACCAGAATTCATATTGCCAGGTTTTTCCCTTTGGGGAAAAAAGGACCTATTTAAAACATTTGGACATTGGTACGGACTGTGATGAGTGGCAAAAGCCCCTTTTCAGTATTTGTACAGGACACGGTCACTTGAAATATCAGCCTTGGTGGTTCCTGTTTCTGGAATCGCGCCTATGCCAGTTTATTTTTCTGGAGAAATGCAACTTGTCCTAATGCGACAAAAAGGAGACTTTGGCTCAAGTTGCACATTCAGCTGAGGCTGCTGATGTTAAATCAACAAACTACATCACCACAGGAACAAATTGGTGCTCTGTGGATAGTGCAACAAGCCTCTTGTTCATTTTTTTATCATGCTACATGTGTAATATCAATGATTGTCCCTAATGTATCTGTGCAAGTACACGTTCTAAATGCTTTCCTGAGTAGATCTTGGAATGATTGTAAACTTTATCACTATTTTGACTATCAAATTGTAACTGTAAAACACATGAGGGTTACCCTTGTAACAGAGGAAGGCTGGTAGAATGCTATGGCCCAGATTGGGGGATGGGTACGACGATGGAGAGGTGCTATATCAATGGGGGTCCTGGAAATGGTGGCAGTGGCGATAGGCATTCTGGCTTTATGCCGAGTTTAAACGTGCCTTGTTCCAGAGGCAAGAGATCTGTCACCAAGTATTGCTCAGGTTAGCCCATGGCAATCCCGGTAGCCATGAAGTCTGATTACAGACGATTTAAGGATGAGGTTCTTCGATGACGGGCAACCTGTGGGGAAGAGACCTTCCGCCTAAGACAGGGGTTGCCAGGTCCCCCAAAAGACGGATAAGGGAGGGTGACCCTACTTGACCTAAGACAGGAGTGCCTCATTAGAAAATAAAAAAGGGGGAATTGTGGGGACAACAGACCTTGGCCAGAGACCCACTTCCCCATCGGCCTGAGAGCAGGCAGCTGTAAGACAATGTTTACTAAAAACATGTTTACTAAAAACAATACAATGTCCGGGGCAATAAGTTCCTGAAAAGGGGTCGCCCACAGGAATGCCGTGACCTCTTCTGACCCACCCACCACAGCCTCTGGTGTCAGGGTATATTATAACCAGCCAGGATAGGAATAAAAGAGAGCCTTCTTGAGGAGCCTTCTGGTCTCTGTGTCATCAATCCCGACACCCTCCGCACATTCTCGGATACAGGCTGCACAGTGGGAGCGGCACATACCCAGGGCCTTGGTCCCCAGGACACACACACACACACACACACACACACACACACACACAGACACACACGTATATATATAAACACACCAAAGTTATAACAAGCCCGGAAAATATGAACAGTATCACTGAATATATCTAGATCTTTAGTAACTAATATGCCCTTGTACGTTAATTTGAAAAATACACTAGTTGCCTAGTGGTTAAGAGCACTTGTTGCTCTTGCAAAGGACACAAGTTCAATTTCCAGCACCCACGTGATGATTCACAACTATTTTGTAACTCCAGTTCCAGGGGATCCAACAACCTCTTTGGGCCTTTGCAGACACAAAGCACACACATGCACACATACATACAGGCAAAACACTCATCACGTAAAGTAAATGTCTAAAAAAAATCTGAAAGCCAGATGTGGTAGAATATACTTTTAATCCCAGCACTTGGTAGACAAAGACAGGTGGATTTCTGAGTTTGTGGCTAGCCTGATCTACGTAGTGAGTTCTAGACGACATCGTGACATCTCGTCTTAATAACCGAAACAAAAAGAAAAAGTACAATAGATAATCGTAATAATTTTAAGAATCAGCAGCTTGCCCCAGGCACAGAGGGAAAACATGGACCCACCCAGAGTCTAGTGGTGCCAGACAGTTGGGTACTATTGTGATAAGCAAATCTATAGTGTGATATGGAGAGATAGGATGCTTCATGTTCTATGGAGAGAGGCATATCTGAAGAGGTGAAAGTGGGCTGAGGTGGGTAGTCTACTTGCCACCTGGGTGATGGTGATGTTTGGGCCCATGGCCCTGCTGGGTTGGTGTGAGAGGCTTGTTACCACCAAAGGCTGAGAGGATAGGGCTGCACAGAGTTGGCCCCACCCCTCACTGGGGGCAGCCCTAAGGAAAACTGTTTCTGCCCCTCACCAGCAGCAGCACCCAAAAGAGTGGCCCCTGTACCTCTCACCTGGACAACCCAGCAGAGCTGGCCCTGGTGGTGTAGGTATGGGTGAGCCTGCCCTGAGGACAGCAGGGGAACTGGTCCCACCCCTCGCTCTTCGCTGCACAGGGTGAACTAGCAAACTGTAGAGCTCACCCTGATGGTGAGGACGGGGAAAGCTGGCCAGCTGACCAACCCAGCAAATACCGAGGCCCAGAACCAGAGTTATGAGCTGGCCCACCCCAACATCCACCCCATCTGTGATCTGCTGGAGCGTGTTAAGGGGCCAGTCCTGAGATTCAAAGCTGCAGGATCTCCACGACACAGGGAAAGAACAGGATATCCAAAAAGAGTCCCAGTGAGGGCCCAGTATCAATCACGTTGCAGAAACCACAGGCCTCGAATTAGACTAATGACTCTTTGCAATGAACACTTGCTAGTAGACAGACCAAAGGGTAAATTGTGTGACTCACCCTAAATAAGATAGGAGTTACAACTTGTCTGGGTAGTTTAAAGTAAAAAGACCCTAGAGAAGGAACCACTTCCTTTTTTTTTTTTTTTGTATATATTGTATTCATTTGTGACATTTGTTACCGCCCATAAAGATGGGTTCACTTCATCTTGCCTCAAGATCAGAGAGTTTAAAACTGTGTAAAGGCTTGACTACCACAGGGTGTTTTGGCCTTGGTAGCAGTAGAGAATACCTTATCTAAATAACAGACTTGGGCTCAGGTGTGTTTACTCTTGACCCTGAAGGCCAGATAACAGGAGGATTAAGGGAAGTAAGTCTGTTCGCTCATTATGGATGATAACAGAAGTCTTCTGCTATTGTCCCCACTTTTGGTTGGGTACTTAAGAATGCTGAAGAACAAACTAAGAGCTTTCAGTATTGACTGGATTTGCCCTCCTGACTATCCTGTGTCTCTGACTTTTTCTTAAGTATCTTTTCCTAGCCTTTCGCAATCCACACTCCCCCTCTCAGGTACGAGGCGGGCAAGTCAGCCGGCTCCATCTGTAGCTCCACAAACACAGCTTCCCATAGACATTTTCATGTGCATAATGCATTTTGATCAAATTTACCCCCATTATCTGCCCCAACCAGCAGGGCACAACAGGATTCGAGCCCATGGGAACCTGGAATGAATGAGACAAGAGACAAGAGGAGGTGACAGCTAAGACAGACCTTCCGATCAAGCTGCTGCCATTTAATGAGAATTCTGTACAGGCTTAAATTGGGGAAGGTGGCATTGGCCATGAGGAGGAGGTCGTTAGACTGGAGATGCTGAGAAGAGAGGCAGTGGGGAACGTTTGGTATGCGATGGGCAGATCTCACCAGGGAGTGCAGGTGTTAACGAAGTGTTGTTAAGTGATGGATCATCTCCATGGAGCCAGGCCATCTGTGGGAAGGTGCCTGAGTTTTGGGAAGCGCCTTGGGGCAAGAAAGAGATTCAGTGGCCTGGTCCTCAACAAAGAGATAGTAACAAGCCTAAGCTGTCAGCCAAGCATTTATAATGTTAAGTCTCTGTGTGGTCATTTGGGGGCTGCCTGGTGAGACAGAGAAACCCCACCTACAATTCTATTTGTAGTTCAAGGCCTTATATTTGTTAATTATAAACTATCAGTATGCATAGTTGCCAAGATGTTTGATCCTTGACTGACATGTGAAAGCACCAAACCTGACAAAGGCTAATTGGAGGCTTCAGTCATGTGTGTAATAGAAAGAAAACAAACAGTATGTTTTTCAAGTTTAAATTTTATTAAAGTACAGAGTTAACAAGTTTGAGTTTTTTACATAGGAAAAGGCCAGTCAATTTCAGGTGGTTCATAGAAAAGTTAGCACTCAAAAAAAACAAACAAACAAACAAAAAAAAGATACAAATCCATAATTGGCATTGTGACTAATGGGGAAAACCAACAAATTTAAAAGGTAGCAAAATCTAACCATGTCAGAAACCTTTATAAACGAACAGTAGACTTACCACACAAATTGCATTAAAACTCCAATATAGAAAAAAAGGTAACCACAAAATTTGGCTACAGCTAATTGTTCCCAAAACATCTTTTTAAAAAATTAACAGATATGACTATAAAAATTTTTGTAGTTTTTCTTTGCAAAGTAAAAAAATGTTTAATTCTTTAATGAAGTCAAAATGATCCTCTTAAAATTTTTATAAATAGCTCTCAAGACATATATTACTCATCTGCTGTAATCTTTCTTTACCTGAGAGAATTTTTCCCAGGGTCCTTTCTCCCAAAGGATTACCTTAGAGTCCTTCCATCATTTTGCTCAGATGAATGTGGTTAAACCTCTGCCAAAGTCAATTTGGGTAAATACAGTCCTGATTTGCCTGCCCGTCCCCAACTAAAACAAAGTCAAATACACCTCTTTGGTAAAAGTCAAGTATCAGCCTTTCAAAATAACTGTCTCTGTGAATGATTCACTGATGGAAAACAGAAAAAGAAGATTTAGCTAAAGACCTTGTGATCAGCTCTCCTGTCTGTTGACGCTACCTCAACACCAGAGAACCCATCTCTGCAGGAAATGAAAATATTTACTAGTGAGTGAGTTACACACAAAACCCTTCAGATCCTGTGGCCCAGTTGTCAACCTCGTCCCTGGTCCTTTCTGGGTGTTCAGTCTCATTTCTGAAGCCCTTGTCATTTCTTGGTAGTATATATGATGTGCATTGGTATACACTTTGGCACACCAAAACAGATACTGCTCAGAAGGGCAACGGAAGAAGAAAGCCCCAGAAGTTTAAATACCAGCTCTGGAGCTGCTTTCCAGATAGCATGGAGCACCAATGATGGGCCATAGGGCAAATAAATATGTACATCATCCAAAAAAGGCAGAGGGTGGAGGTTTGGGAAGGGGGCAACTAACACTACACAGTGAAGTCACCTGCGAACTGGAAACACTGTCATCCAGTGGGAACTCCTGCTGGCCATTCCTTATGGGAATCAGAACCCCAAAGCCTCAATACTCCATGCTCCCTCCAACTCCTTCCCCACCAGTTTACCCACGATATAAAGCTTCCCCAAACCTCTGGAAAACACTTCATCTGCTGACTTCCCAAGAAGCCCGGACCAGCTACCCAGCAGCACAAAAGCCTGACTCAGCAATGGCATGGCAGGCTTTCCAAGGGTGACAGTCTCTAGCCTCCAACCAAACATCATGTCTAAGCAAGACTGACAGGAGAACCCCACCCCCAAGCTTAAGTGTTTTACTCATAAAAACAAGAGAGAAACACATACAATTTCTAACTCTACTACCCAGTCTGCCACCACTAATGGGCCAATCAGCACCTTCAAGGCATGCATTTTCATGGTCCTGTGTGAGTAGGCAAGAAGCAAAGGGTGCTATCTTTAAAAAATTATCAGCGGATAAGGCAGGTTAACACTGCCATTGTTAACTAAAGCAATTGGCACGCTTTCCAGTTTCTCAAGTACAAGAACCTAACAGCGTTCTTAAATCCTTAAGTGGGCTACCACCTGAGGAGTGTCCCACAGCTGATCATGAGTGTCAACTTTTTGTTTTGAGAAAGGGTCTAATTGGCCTAGAACTCACAGAGATCCCCTTGCTTCTGCTGAGATTAAAGGTTTAATTCTTAACTTCTTCTACCTTACTAGGGAACCCACAGTCCTCAAGTGCAGCCATCTGACCATCAATCTAACTCTAGCAGCCGAGAGTAAAGATGGATGTGGTTGACTATTCCTCTTGTGAGAGACCCAGCTTCGGAAGGGGAGGGCATGAACCCAACCATCACTTAGGCAGCTGGAAAACAGGTGGAGCCTGCCTGGCTGACAAAGAAGCCACAGGGGCTGCCACTGGTACTGTGTTTCCCTAAGCTGCTTTCTAGAGAGGAAAAGGGGTCAACAAAGAGCAGCCCAGGAATATGTGGCCTTGTCAGTCTGACCTTGGTCCAGTATGACTAGTTGAAAACTCACCACATGTGGCTGCCAGATTCAGCAGAGAAGATGAGGGCCTCGACTAGCCCTTGGCAGGAGGGAAACATCACTGTTCCCACCTGTGCATGAGCTCCCCTCCGCTGCTTCTCACAGCAGGCCTTTCAGGTGCAGCAGTGGCTGCGGCCATGGAGCCAGCTCAACGGCCCACTTTCCCAGTTGATGGGGCTCCCATTCCCACTGGACTAACTAGACTTGTTTAGAGTTAGTGTGTAGTTACGCCTGTCTTTTGTGATTCTCACGTGTATTTAAACTGGTGAGTTTAAAGAGTTCCTGACCTATACAAGGAATTGTGACAAAGTTTATAAACAAGGGATCCTTACTAGTTCTCAAACACTGTAAATTAAGTGAGTTCTTCAAAGAATCCACCCATATGCATTCCCCCATGGCACTTTTAGTAGGAGGACATAGAAGTGAGTAGAAATAAGAATCCATATTTTGGCACATGGGAACCAGGCTTAGGTAGGTTCCAATTCTGCTCGATCTGTTCAGATAGTCACAGAAAGAACAGCTAGACCAAGTCCTTCTGGGATGTCCAGAGACAGCTTCTACTTCACACAGAAGCAAGATATCCCTCCACCAGCGTCTAGCAGACTCGGCACTGGGAATTCCAGATTAAGAACATCAGCATTGAAATCGCACACCCATAAGTGTGTCTGGGATGTTTCTGGGAATGTGATCTTGGTTTTGTGAGATTCCTTCAACCTCTGCACCTAAGTCTAACTCCTTACTTCCTTGCCTAGACCTGTCTGCTCAGCTCTGCTGAGGCTTCTCACCCCAGCCCTTCTACTCCAAGGAAGCCATGATGTTAACACTGGGACACAATGCAAGTGAGGAAGGCCTTGTGGTAGATAATCAGATGGGTGAGGGGCGGGGTGGGGATGGGGAAGCTGCCCTTAACACTTCCAGAAGGGTGTGGCAAGCTGCAGCCAAGAAGCAACGTTTCTGTTAAGACCCTTACAGCATTACTGCTGATGTCACAAGAGTTGTGATCCTCTGCTTAGAGGGAAAGAAAACAATTGTTTCACAATCACATGACCACCACCATACATAAGTGTCATGTCATTGCAGACTTGGATTGGGTAGGCATAAGTGGTGGAGAACTCCATGGAGGTGAGAGCAAATTGTGCTTTTCACATTATTACAAAAATTACCCAGACAAGAATGAAGGACTTCTGCCAAGGGCAGAGAGGAAAGGTCCTGACTCCCGGCATCAGGACCTCACAGGAAAATGCTGGGGCAGGGGCACAGGGAACAGTTCTGAGGGTGGAGGACCTTCCTCTTGTCCTCTGTCAACAGGGAGTGACAGAGGTCAAGACCCACCTGAGGACTGTGGACTCAATGGTTTTGCTTTTGCTTCTTTATACCAAGGATGAGAATGACAGGTTGTACAAGGCCATTTTCATCCCTGTGACGGATGCTGTGCCCCAAGTTCTGTTCTGGTTAAAACACACCCAAGAAAAACAGCAACAGAACTTTAGCTACCATTTAGGGTAAGGCATAAAGACATAATTAATTGCACCTATCAGCTTGGCTAAAGATTTCAATTCCTGTCAGCCAAACTGGTAGTTTCCTTTTTGGATTTTAGACTAAAGCTGATTGGGAGATTTTGTTTGTTTTCTGAAAGTGTTGTCAGACCCAGGGAACCGGTTGCTGCTCAAACCCCTGATGCACACATTCAAAGGGCAGCCCTCCAGAGTGGGGCACAGGCCTGCTGAGCCAAGGGGCATGTGCACACCCTCACACTGAGAACTGCCTGGAGGGACAGCAAAGAGGGGCCACCAGGGTCCATAGGTACAGAATCACACACATCCAGCAGGAGGCCATCTTGACCCAGAAGTTGGACCAGCTCCCGGTGAAGAAGGTCTCAATGGTGGCATTCTCATAGCTGTTGAGAAAAAGACATAGTTGTGGTGAAAGGAGAAGAAAGGGAAGGAGTTTCCTCTGCCCTAGGTACTTCCTGCCCCTAGAAACCTTCAACTTCCTTTCTTAGCAATTAATGGAGTTATAACTCATATACATTTTAAATGTATCATTTGGTGAGTTTTCAAACACTTACAGAATCATTACAACAATCAGTTTTAGAACGTCATCTCCCGACATCCTGTATCCCTTAGCTGCCCTCCCATTCCCTCTGTCCCCCATTACCTGCATCTGTTAACCTATTTCCTGTCTATAGGATTTGCTCTTTTTAAGCCAATCCATGTAAATGCAGTCATGTTGTCTCCTCTTATTGGCTTTTTATATGTAGTGTAATTGTTTCCCAAGTTCTTTGTGTTATTACATATATCAGCACTAATTGCATGTCTCTTATCTGAGATGCCTAGGACCAGATTTTAGAGTTTTTCACCCCAGAATATTTACATAGATATTACCAGTTGAGCAAAATTGAAAACGTGAACATTCCCATGTCATGTGAGATTGGAGAACATTTTGAATTTCTGGATTGGGGATACTCACCTATACCTCACTCCTTTTTATTGATAAATAGTATTACATTGTCTGACATGAGCATTTGCCTATAATTTTTTGTATTTTTCCTTTTTGTCTTAGATCTATACTTAGGAGGGAAATTGCTAGATTATACTATTATCTTTGCTGAACCACGCAAGGAACTGCCAAACTATATTTCAAACTATTGCCAAATTGTATTTTCAAAAGTGGCTTCTGTTGTGGGATATTTGTATACTGTGTGAAGATATATTGCTATGATGGGCTTAATAAAGAACTGAGTGGCCAATAGGTAGGCAGGAAGAGGTTATGCAGGACTTCCAGAGACAGAGAATACTCAGGGTGGAAAGATGCCAGTAAGACGCTGAAGAAGTCAGACATGGTACAGAGCAGAGGTACTGAGTCATGTAACAGAATATAGAGTAATAAAAACAGGTTGATTTGAGGTAAGAGAGCTAGCTAGGAACAAGCCTAAGCTACAGGTCAAACTTTCATAATTAATAATAAGGCTCCATGTCTTTGGCTGGCAATCCAAAGATAGTCTGACAAGAAAATTTGTACAGGCTTCATTGTACATTCCTAGCAGGATGGAAGGAGAGCTCTGATTTCTGTCACCTGCGTTTGTTACCACCTTCCATCCTTTCTCAGATGTTCCAAGCCAAAATTCCTCCAGTTTTCAAAGGATCACTAAGAAACATCAAAGTCCATCTCTCCATCAGGAAGAACGTCCTCCAGGAAGTGTCTTCTAACTCTAGGCTCATGGTACCTACTCCCCAGCACCTCTCCACTATCTGACACTATGCAAGGGATTCAGGTCATGGTGTGTCAATTCCACTAGAGACATTCTCTGGTGCTTACAGAGTGTGGTTCATGAGAGCCACACAAACACCTATTAACTAACAGACACATGGGTACAGCTGGAAGTCTGGGGCTGCACAAAAAATATGAATCTCCATGTAGCAAAAATAAGATCCATTAGGCATGAACACATTAAAAACTGGAAAGAATAAAAGACATGTATTTGATGTAGGAAAAAAGCCCACTGTTTCAATCTTTCTTAAGACAACCTTTCCTGTATCACGCTATAGTGTTCTCCATACTTGCCAAGTGAAATTAGCCCTTCCTGTCTTGTGTGCTTTGTTTCTCGGCAGAGATGGGACCCAAGGTCTCTCACACACTGAGCTGATGCTCTGCCTCAGCGTCCAGGAAAAGGTGCTGGCTATCAGAAGAGCGTGAGCTGTTGGCTACAAAGGCTACGGGTGTGGACAAGAGTGCGGATGACTCTACACTTTCGAGAACCACACTGAACTTGGGTGTTGGCTGTTTGTTTTTTTCCTGTTGCTTCTCAGACAACTATTGGGGTGTGTAGAAACATTTACTCTGAGCTTGGTTTTAGGGTATTTCAAATGGGTCACTCACTGGAACCAGCTGGTCAAGGTCATCATCACATAGAGGGAAGCCAGCAAGAAGACAAAGTGGAAATAGGAGTAGCTGTAGACGGTGCCTTTCTTCTCATCATAGATGACCCGGGGTCCCTTTTTGACATTCTGCTGCTCTTCAGTGTCTGTAGATGACAAAGGGTGCCCAAAGGCAGTGGTGAGTCCACATACAGTTAGCTCTAGAACAGCTCTTGCTTGCACATCTCAGTCCTAGGTAATGCTATCTGCACCTCAATCACACCAGGAATTTTCTTGATTAGATGAGTTAACAAATATTTTTATTTTAGTAGGCTAGAAGAAAGCCCTTAAAGACATAGAGAATATCAGAAGTTTAGCAGGAGGGTAGCCCATGAGCTTTCAAGCCCCCAGGTCTTCCCCTTCTATGAAGAAATGACACCCAAGTGAGGTATAGGGACCTCTTTGCATTTTCATGTCATTCCTTTAAACACACACACACACACACAGAGTAATTTTTCTAACTCTGATTTGTCAGACATGTACTAGAATGCACAGTGATTTTTCCCTGCCAGCTGCAAAAAAACAAAACAAAACAAAACAAAATCCAGCAACCCTTGAGGAAGATGTAATAAGTATATAAACAGTAAATAAGCTTTGGAATAAGCGTAGTTGGGTACTACCAACATAGTGCCCGCATCACCAATGCCTACAGAGAGAAATCCTGGTCTGCAAGGACACGGTCAGGCGCAGTACAGAAATGATATACTTACCCTCTCCATCTGGACCAAAGCAAAAACAGCAGCGAGCTACCTGTGAGAGCAAAGACAACCAAGTCAGACACTTCTCTTCTATGTCCCTAACACTGCAGGCTGCCTACATGGCAAAGTTGCTATCAGAAACACAAGCTAGTGCCTGGAAAGGTTTGGCTAAGTATCCATCCCAAGAAACACCGGGTACAGTAACAGGGGTGCCCTCCTGAGCACAGGATGTCCTAGCTAGCTACCGTGGGAACAAAGCCTGTGCACCAGCTCCTTCAGGCATAGCTTCAGCTGCAGAACTGCCTTGTCCTATAGCAAGCCCCTTCTGAGTATCCCCCAAAGGACTGATCATGGAAGGCCTATAAAGGCCCAGCTAACAGGCCATGAGGGACACTCAGGGGCACCCTATATGTTTGGGAGTATGCCCTTGAGTTAGTTTAGCTTATATTGTCCTTTAACTTTACCTATATTTGCCTAATTTTGTCTCCTTACTCACCCATCCCCCCTCTACATGCGCTGACCCCTAATAAATTACCCACTTGAGCTATTCTGCCTCGGTTCCTACTTCCGGATGACTGAAACATGCAGCAAACAAGGTGAGGACCTTACTTGCCTTGCACTTTCTAGTGATTCAGTCTGCACGCTACCCAATTCTTCTCCCACCTAGGAGCTGGGACTAGGATCATGCTCACAACTGAAGACACTGAAATCAGGCAGGTTAAACAGGAAGCAGTAAACCAGCTTTGTGACAGAGCTGGGGCACATGCAGAATGGAGACCTTGGGATCTATGGTTGACAACAATAAGTGGCGTGTGGTATTCAGGGGGCTTAGTTCAAGAGTGTGGAATGGGAACGGGAGAAATCTGAAGTGCCGACTAAAGCCAGCTGCTGAGCAGGGATGCTGCTGCACTCCTGTCCTAATACTTAGGAGGCAGAAGCATCCCAAGTTCAAGGCTGGCCTGAGCAACACGGTGAATTCAAGGCTAGCCTGGATGACAGAGTAGAGTCAAACCAGCTTGGGCTACATATCAAGGTCCAGGCCAGCCTGGGCTATTTAGTGAAACTCTTACAAAAACAAACAATAAAAATAAGCAAATCAGACTGACAAGCTGACTGTGGATACAGACGGCTGGGATACTAGCTTCTTTTTTTTTTTTTTTTTTTTTTTTTTTGGTTTTTATGAGACAGGGTTTCTCTGTATTGTTTTAGAGGCTTATCGGTCCAGCCTGGCCTCGAACTCACAGAGATCCGCCTGCCTCTGCCTCCCGAGTGCTGGGATTAAAGGTGTGCGCCACCACCGCCCGGCGGATACTAGCTTCTTTAGTACACTTTGAATTTTATATCCTTTCTCTTACTTCTTCAAAACAATAAACTCAAAGAAAAAGAACTGAAACGATCTAAGTCTTATTACGTAATTGCAGAAAGACTAATAACAGGGTAAGCAGCACAACACATGCCAAGACTATCTGGGAAGCAAGGGCCCTCATTATCTCTAGGGGAGACAGCTGAGCTACAAAACCCAGAGCCAGAGTTGAGGCCATGGGAACATGAGCCTTTCACCCCACACGTCCCACTCAAGTCAAGCCCGTTTCCCTCCAGCTCCACAAGACTTGGACCACGTGAGGCAGTCTAAATTCACTAACAGCAGTGGGCCCACGTTATTCATTCTGAGGTCTTGTTTCTTTTGAAGCTTAAGTTACCACAGAAAAATATCAGCTTGGGTTTTCAAAGGTATATCTCAGGAGACTCTATGTGGGCGCATGAACTCACTTGCTCAGAGGTAAACCCTAGGCAGCTTCTCTTCAAAGGAAAAGAACAACATTCTCTTTTAAATCTAACCTGGGGACTCTCAGCTGTTTGAGCCCGAACTCTGTACACAATGGGGACACTGAAACCATAATAGGCAACCCTCAGCAGGTGGCGACCCAGTCAGCCTGAGAACAAAGGCTGCTTCTGGAAGCCTTTCTGCTCTGCAACAGACAGCAGAAACCTATTCAACCCAGCACAGTTTTCTCCTGTAAGTGACAGAAAGAGCTGCTGAATGGTGCTGGCAGAGTAAGAAGCCTTCATAATGCTTCACTATCTCTAGGTCAGGAGCTGGATGGGCATCCTAGACAGCCAGCTGCAGAGCAAAGTGCCCATATCTGGAAAGACAGCAGGGCTTGTCCATCCAGTAAATGCTATTTGATGGTGCCAGTGGCCAGACACCAGGCAAAGCTAGCAGCAGGGCTCAGGGACAGCAGCTGTGCTCCTGGGCAATCAAGAACATGTACCCTGGGGCCACATCCTGGTAAATGGAAATCGGTTTCCCTCTATAAAATGCAAAGAATAGCCCCTCACTGGGTTTTTGTGAGGACTAAATGACTAAATGGCACGTGGAAAGCTCAGAACAGCCCCCACCCCACCCTGCACCTGGCAAATGCTAAGTGACTTAGCCATCACTGGAGACCCAGGTCCTTGCCACCCTTGGGGTCAGGACTGAATCTTGTCTTAACTACCCTGTACGTTTGAGTTTTCTGACAAAGACTTATGTTTCATCAAGAGCTTCAGATAAAAACTTCCTTAAAGGAAAGAAAACAACAGGGTTTTGCTGGCTGATAGTCAGCTACAGACTCCCTCCTCCCACTGATGCTGTGAATAGTCTCATCAGTGTGCTTACAGTTCTGAATTCTTTACTGAAGGATACAAGTGTGATGGAACTGATATAGATTACAATGTCAGTGTCTGCAGAGCATGTGCAGTTCCCGCCCTGGCCTGTCTTCCTGCAGAACAGGATTACATAACCCCATGGCTATGCTCTATATGGAGAACACAGATGGGTGTCAAACAGGTGAATGGTTTAAAGCAAAAAGAACATCTGTATTCTATTATAACCAAAGAGAGTAAACAAGGACTAGCTGAACAAGGTTCAGCTCAGACTGGGGGTGGGTGCCAGGCTAACAGGCAAGAGGCCAACATCATTAATGGAAAAATCAAGAATCCTTTTATTTAATACACAGGACAATAGCTCTTTTTCTACACACACAAAAAATTTTCTTTCTCAGATAGAAAATAGAACCATGAATTCCCCCCTCAAAGAGAGATATCAGCATAGTGCAAAGGGAAAACTAGCTTTCTTACTGGATATAGAAGCCATACTTAAGTGCAGGTCCCATGCCCTGCAGTAGATGGCCAACACAAAACAAACTCAATAGTATTTTTGGAGATGTTCTTTCTCACAATGCTTTGCTCGGACATTTTCTAACTTACTTGTCTTTTGCTTCACTGTTATGGTTTCTGATTCTGTGTTTGTATGGCTTTTGTGTGTGTGTGTACACGTGTTGTAGAGTTTCTTGTGCTTTTTCTTGTTTTCTTTTCCCCCTGTTTTGGTTTGTTTTTAAATTGGCCTGCTGTTTTCTAAAAAGAGAGAAAAAGAAGAAAGCAGTTGGATGGATGGGGTTGGGGGCTGGGAAGACACAAGGGAGGAGAAACCATGGTCAGAATATACTATATGAAAATGTTTGGTTTTGTTTTGTTTTTTGTTTTTCGAGACAGGGTTTTTCTGTGAAGCCCTGGCTGTCCTGGAACTCCATCTGTAAACCAGGCTGGACTCAGAGATCCACCTGCCTCTGACTCCTGAGTTCTGGCATTAAAGGTAAACATCACCAGTGCCGGGCAAAATTCATTAAAAAAAAAAAAAAGACACCAGCACATAAAAACTGTCCTGAGAAATGGGCCCTGAGCTAAAAAGCAGGGGAAGAAAAGGAAAGGAACTTACTTCCAGCTCAGGAGCTCCGTAACGCCTCTGCAGAGCATCAGAACTCGACCTTGTTGTTGAAGTCAAACTAAGAAAAAACAAAGTCCAAGAGAACAGTGAGAAGTTGTATCTGGAATGAAGAGGAAAGCTGCCTGGCCAAGGCTTACTGCACCCACAACTCTGGCACCTGCATGGATGTACATTTATCCTCTTTGTCTCCATCTGTGGGCTTAGCTTTGCATAGAGGTATCGAGGGGGGCAGGGTGTGTCTGTGCTGAACAAGAGCACACATCTTCCCCCTTGCTCTTACTTCCTAAGTAACGATATCTTACATTATTTATACTGTATCAGACACACCATCTAGAGACATTTTAACATATACTGAGGATGTATGCAGATCTTATATAAAAATAATTCCTATACCATTTTATAGAAACTTGATTTGGGGGGAGGGGGTTGCTCCTGGAACCAACACCACACCAGACACTAAGGGATGAACACAAGCTACTGCGATATTTCATTTGAGATTCAAGTTTGTTGGCTGATTCTACAACAATCTTTTTATGTACACTGTATTAGATCATTTTTATCCAGACTCAAGTATGCTGATATTTCTCGTCTTCAGCATGGGTTCTTGCTGCTCCTCCTTCAAATGATAGAATCACTTTCTAATTTCACTTTTACCTCTCTTGTGAGTCTCACTTAGAGATCAAAAAGTTATGAGAGAACCCAGAGGAGACAAGAGACAAGCAAAGGGCAGCAGTGATACTTTCCTTTGTTAAAGGGAAATTTGTTAGAGAAGCTGCTGGCCTGCATTTTGTTTTTGTTTGTTTTTCCTTTAAGTCCAGGCAATGTAGCTCAGATAACAGAGTGCTTGTATAGTGCCTGAAGCTATGGGTTCAGTTCCCAGCACACATAAACTGGGTGAAGTTACATAGACCTGGAACATCCCAGATTTGATGAGAGTGGCTTGAAGATCAGACATTCAAGGCCATCATTGACTACATAATGAATCTGAGACCAGACTGACTTATATATAGTAGATCTTGTCCCAAAACTTTTTCCTGCCTTCCCTTTACATAGAGAGGTAAAATTGACTTATAAAGACAAAGCTATTTATTTCTCCTTTAAATGAAAACATGGAAGCACTTTCAACAAACAAAAATACTCAACATTCAGCCGAACTTTATGCACTTATTTCAGTAATTCCTAAAGGCCATAAATCTGCATGTGGCAAGCCCTGTTCTGAGAGTTAGAGGTCGTCCTTCAGCGAAAATGCAGCTGCTCTGCCTCACACAGGACCAAGCTTTCAAGGTCACAGAGGACGACGACTGTTGCTGCTCAAGAAGCTAGTGGACAGGCAGAAATTAAGATTCACCAAAGCAACCCCAGGAGGCAGCAGGGTCCTGTCTGCTTGCTCAGACAATGAACTGCAGAGAGGCAATAGAGCCATTGCCTCCCTCACCAGCAAAAAGGCCCCCTAGGACCCACACCCTAGTCCTCCACTCTACTTCCTGACAAACACTTCCCAGTGGCCATGCTCCCAAGGAACTCAGCCATCGCTCATGCACTTCGGACTTCTGCATGCCAAGTGAGCTTTAGTACAGCAGGGGGCTTCAGTGGGGAAACCCAAACTTTAATTTCAGTGTCACATCAGTTCTGAAGTTCTCAACTGGAAACCGGAGAACAATCTTTAGGAACATTGGACTAAATACTCCATTTCGTAAGTTCTTGGAACAAAAGTTTAAGAAAGACAAAACTTGATTCAAGCACCTTTGCCGCCTCATTCCCATCTTCAGACAGCACTAAACCAGGGAAGGGCTGTACTTTTCTGTCTAAAACTACACCCAGTTCATCCTCAGGGACTGTCCTCCTGTATGTAGTATAAAACTCTTGAAAACTGCCAGGTGGCAGCAGTGCGCGCCTTTAACCCTGGCACTCGGGAGGCAGGGGCTGGTGGAGCTAGCTCTGTGAGTTTGATTCTAGGACAACCAGAGCTACACAGAGAAACCCTGTATCAACAAACAAACAAAAACATATTGAAAATTATTAAAGAAAACAATGGTTTTTGCAGGCTCTTAGTCTCTCTCTCCCTCTCCTCCCTGTCGCTGTGTGTGTGTGTGTGTGTGTGTGTGTGTGTGTGTGTGTGTGTGGCTATGAGCATGGGAAGGTCAGGGACAATCTTGGGTATAAGTCCTTTACCACTGAGACAAGGTCTCATGTTGTTTCAGGTCTCTTGTTGAGTTTCTAACTTCCCCCACCCCCATCTCATTGTAGACACACTGGGGTTACAGTGTCTGGTTTTACATGGGTTCTAGGAATTTGAACTAAGGTAGCTATCTCCCCCGCCCTTTCTTTTTATTTATGTATTTAGAGTCAGTCTTACCATGCAGTCCATGCTAGTCTGAAACTCAATATGTAGTCCATGCTAGCCTTAAGTTTATTGCAATCCTCCTGCCTCAACCTCCTAACTGATGGGATTACAGGTGTCAGCCACACATCCTGGAGTGGAGCTGGAGTGAAAAGAGGGAGCACAGCAGCGAGGGATACAACTTCACTATTCAGAGACCAGCTAAAACAGCAGCTTGTTTAGTCTGGATGCCACCCACAAATGTCAATTCCTTCTGATCATTCTCACGTTCACGAAAACGTTGCCTTCCTTCCCTCCTCTCTGGAAACCCTTGCAACCCTCCAGCCTCTGCCGTATTGTCAGCAGTCTATAGAGTGCACGTCTCCTGAGAACCTGCTTCAGTCCATGTCACAGGAGCAAGCCGAAGTCCCGTGGTCGCAGAAGATCCCAAGAAAATTCCAGACTATTGGAGATCATAGACCTCTTCACACCCTAGAAAACTGACAGGCCAGGCCCAGGACACCTGCCACGCCTCTACCCAGACTTTGTGTGACAAGTCTACGACGTTCCCACAGTGCTGTGTAATCAGTGATTCGTGGCTAGCAAAGGAGACCAGAATTCTGAGGGAGTCAGGGGAGGCTACCCACTGCTGCTATGAAGAGTTCTGGCTAGAACCTGAAGGCAAGAGCACATGCAGAGGCCATGGAGGGGTGCTACCCACTGCCTTGTTCTTCCTGGCTTGCTCCATTTGCCTGCCCAGTGGTGGCCCTGTCCACAGTAAACTGTATCACAGGTTTGCCTCAGGCCAATCAATCTGGTGGGGACATTTTCTCGGTTGAGGTTCCCTTTTCCTAAATGACTATCTCGTGTCTAGCCAGATATTAACAATAATAGAAAGCAAACCAGAACACTTCAAAGTCATAAGCCAAAATAAATCTTTCATCCCTTAAGATCTTTTTGGTCAGGTGTTCTGTCACAGTGATAATAAAAACAGTAACTACATAACTATCAATCTCTGCACATGCTCGAGCAAAGGATGCTCAAGCCAATGACTCACAAAGTTTAGTCAAGAGCTGCAGGGACAGACTCCATTCTTTATAAGTACAAAGAACTCCAGGGTCCTCCCCAGCCCCAGAACTCCAGCTGGAAATAACAAATTAGCATTCCCAGTCTCAAGAACAGGAAGGAGTTAAGGACTTTGTTCTGTCACACGTTTCAGGAGAGGGTGAAAAGGCTGGACTAATGGGGCAAATGGGCCAAGGTGAGGGCCACCCTGGAGTCCTGTTTTGGATGTTTCTCCACAGAGGTAACTCCTTGACACCAGGTGGGGCTCTAGAGAACCAGGAAGCAAGGTTTGACAAGACAACACAGAGGAAACTCTCAGGAAGTGTCTTGGCAGTAGGACCCGGGCCAGACACAGCACTTAAGAAGTATTTGGGAGAGACAAGGATCCCCCAAAGAACTGAGAGGAGGTAAGTGAACCATGCTTTCTACATTAAAAAAATGTAACCCCAGACAATCCTGGGTCTTACACTGAACACTTCTTTAATTTCTTATTTCTTCTCCTTTAATTTGCATACTACCTGGTGTTCTAGACTATACAATTTCCACCAAGAATTTAACTATTCCTATAATCATGTTCAAATAACAGCTTCAGCCCAGACAGTGTGGCCTCCTTTGACAACATTCCCCAACCTCCCTCCCGTGCTTCTTCTGAAAAGAGCTGAAAACCCCCAATGGTACTGGGGCCTCCCTTAGCAGCATGTCCTTTCTTCAAGGCCCTGTGAAGTCTGAGTTCAGCCCCTGTGATCTTGAAGCCAGTATATTTGTTTATAACGTTCTCCAAGCTGACTCCTCCTGGTGCTGCAATGGGTAATTACTGCAAGCATCCGATCTCCAGACCCTATAGGAAACTTAGCCAGCTCCTGGGAATGTGTTCACGCCATGTGTGACAAAGCATCCATGGGCAGTCGCGTTATCCTCTGCACTCTGTGCACCGTGGCCTTGTGTCTTCATTCCAGGCCACTACAGTTCTACAGTTTAATTACCATCACTCAATAACAGCGTTTGCTGTTGGCATGTAGACAGTCTAAACAGCAGCTGTCAGCTTCAAAAATTGACATCTTTGGGGAACATCAAACTACCCTTTGCCAACCTCCATCATGATGCCTCAATTCGTGATGCCTCAATTCTCAGAGACGCTCTCTCTCAAAAATGATCTTTCAGCCGGGTGGTGGGGTTGTACACCTTTAATCCCAATAATAGCCAGGGGCGGGGGCAGAGGCAGGCCGATGTCTGAGATCGAGACCAGTCTAGTCTACAGAGTGAGTTCCATGACAGCTAGAGCTATTGCACAGAGAAACCCTGTCTCAAAAAACCAAGGGGGGAAAAAGTGATTTTTTTGGTTTTTGTTGTTGCTGTTATAGTGCTAGGGATTAAATCTAGGGTATTATACAAAGGAATGGCAGGCAAACTCACTTCCATAGACCCAAATTAAAAGTGATTGATTGGGGGAGTTGTGAGGATGTGACACACTTGTAGGAAATGGTCTTGAATTCCTCTTATTGGTTTGTGTGAGTATGCATGAGTGTATGTGTACCTATGTGTGTGTGTGTGTGTGTGTGTGTGTGTGTGTGTGTGTGTACCTCTGTTTGTGCATACATGTTTATGCCTGGCTCTACCACTGAGCCACACTCCCAGTCCTAAAAGTGACTTTAAAAAATTAGGTTTTGCTAAATTGCTTAGGCGAGGCTCAAACTTGTACTCTTCCTGCCTCAGTCTCCCATATTAGCTGGGATCACAGGCACATGCCAACGTAGTCTACCTCTAAAAGTGAGTTTTTATAACTCTGAGAAGAGGGGAAAATGTGAGTGGGTGAAAATTCCATACTGTGAGGAGATAGCCCCACAACTGTCAATCTATGCAGTGCACGCAGTAGGACTCTGATCTTTTCCTCGAATGGTCGAAGACAAGCCTAAACCTCTGGGCTAGCCCAGGAACAACCACTTCCTCACCCCAGCTTGACAGGACACTGACTTTCAAAAAGCCAGTATTTCATTCTGTTAAGTATCCTTACAATTTTTTCTGATAACACCAAAACAAAAGAAATCTTGTTTCTGCAAATAAACACAAACCAAAACACCAAAAAGCTAAAATGAAGGAAAATACTTATCACCAATGCCATTCCTACCACAAGTTTGGCCTGTCTCTTCCTGGGGGATTTGTCTTTTAAATATTTATTTTATGAGTATAGAACTTTACATGCAAGTATGTCTGTGTACCACATGTGTGCCTGGTGGCCAGAGCTGAAAGAGCATCTGAACTGGAACCAGGGTTACAGATGATTGTGAGCTGTCATGTGGGTGCTGGGAACTGAACCTAGATCCTCTGCAAGTGGTTAAGTGCTCTTAACCACTGAGTTAACTCTCAACCTCCTTCTGGGAAGTAGTATAAACACAACTGTATTTGATTTGTTTTTCTTTTAAAGAGAATGAGCTGTAAGCAGTTTAGTAACCTACTTCTCTTTTGGCCTACCAATATTCTTGTGATTTTTTTTTATTTTGTGTCTCAATGTTTCCTTGCACATATGTCTGTACAGCACATGTGTGCAATGTCCTAGAGTCCATATGATGATGTTAGATCCCCTGGGGCTGCAGTTACTTCAGCTGTTAGCTGACAAGTTATAGAATCCAAGAGCTCTGGAAGAACATCAGTGCTTGAGCTGCTGACTCACAACACTCTTACATGCTGGTTTGCTTTTTGCTGCTGTGATAAACACCATAACATAAAGCAACTTAGGGAGGAAAAGGTTCACTTCATCTTCCACATCACTGAGGGAAGTCAGGGAAGGAACTCAAGGCAGGACCCTGCGGCAGGAAGTGAAGCAGAGGCCATGGAGGAGTGCTGCTAACTGACTGGTCCTCATGGCTTGCTCAGCCTGCTTCTAGCATAACCACTTGCACGGGGTGGTACCTCCTCCAGTGGGCTGGGCCCTCCCACATCATCATTAATCAAGAAAACACACCCCAGGCTTTTCCACAGGTCAACCTGATGGGGTCTCAGTTTCTTGATCAAAGTTCTTTTCCCCAGATTACTCTGGCTAGCACACAGTCAGCAGAAGAAATGGTTGCATTAGGTATGGGTTCACTGGAAATGGCCAAAGACTTGAATACCCCTCACTGTTTAAGTTTATGTCTGTCTGTCTGTGTGCACCCATGTTGAGGCCAGCATATACTGGCCATCTTCTTCAATGTCTTTCTACCTTATTCTTTGAGACAGGATCCCTCACTGAACCTGGAGCTCACTGACTGAGTAGACTGGCTGGTCAGCAAGTTGAGATCTATCCGTCCACATCCCCAGCACTAGGGTTAGCAGTGTGGGTGACAAAGCTCAACTTTTTACATGGACACTGTAAAGTTCCATATATCTGAACTAAGGTCCTCATGCTTGCATGGCCATCCCTTTACTGACTGAACCATCTCCCCAGCCTCAGCCCTCTCTGTTTCAGCATAGCAGGTACTAGGTAGACAATTAATAGAATTAAATGCCAGAAGTGTCCCTTCTGACATAAGGAAAAGACTGAGAGTCCATGCTGGCTAGAGAACCACCAGTTTAGCCAGATGGCGCACAACCAAGCACTTCCTGGATGGGTCACAGTTCTGAGCAAACACCCTCTGCAGCATGCAGGCCCTTACTCTCAGTAGGATTTGTTAGAGAGCATGTATGTCAACGTACTCAGACATTTTCTTTACACGGGCTGTCACCACCAGGGTTGTTTAGCTTCAGCAAGAGGAATTATAACATGCCCATGACAAGTTGATTCCTTACACACAGAAACAAAGCATAAAGCATGCTGAAGTAAAACTCACTCTAAAAAGGCTCTTGTTGAAAGAAAGGTTCATTACCAGTGAAGCATGTACCCAGAATAGGTAACCAGACATACCAATCCTTGACTTTTCTCTCCAGCAACCTCTGAAGTGTTTTAAAGTGGAGGCTCCATTGCATAGGCATGTGAGATACATGCCTATGTTACATGTATCCCACAGACCCTTGCTGCTTGGTCTACTGCAGAGCACGGTGGGTCTTAGCACAGGAGAAGAGGGACACTTCCTGTCTTCACTGGACCAAGCATAGAATAATCAATCAGGCTTTCTCTCCACAGATAACAAAACAAATGCTATCTCCCTTGGATTAGAGTTTTGTCAGAACATTCTGGCATACACTATGTCTTCGGCTTCCTCACTGTGTGCTCCCTTACTCTTCAAGGATGCCACAGCAACTAATCTTCAGTCATCTTTTAAACAAGCATGCTTCTACTTAATTTGCCCCATATAATGGAGTACACAGGTTTCACGTAGGAGGCCATGCAGCAACACTGCTCTGTCACTTCTGACTATTTTGCTCCTATGGACAGGGGCTGAAACAACTCTTTCCCCGTACTTTTAAAGCCTGTAAGTTGAACTCCCATAACACCGAGGACTTACCATGAATACGAGATGCACACAATCAAGAGAAAGGTGCCCAGCCAGGTCACCATGTTTTCATCTTTATGCAGGCCTTGACTGAAGTCAGGTGCACATATGGTAATGTTCTTCCCGTGTTCATCTTGAACTTGTAAACACACAGCAAACACACACATTAGAAACCGTGCCTTACAGCTTTCATCTGGGAATATTCAGATAGGTCTGGAATGACTCCTCCCAATACTGAAGCCTTCACACTGAGGCCTTCTAGCCTACCATCTGATTCTGTACAACTGAACTAGTTCAGAGCACTGTCCTCCCACATGAGGATCAACACCCTGTGCCCCTCTGTGTTCCAGTTAAGTGTTCAAGCATGTGATGACTTAGGACTTAGTCACTGTTGCTCCTTTCCAATATTAAACAGAAAGCAGTAAAAGTGAGGTTAGATCCATTTCTATAATATTATACTTTCTTTTTAGCTGGATCCACAAACCTCTGAAGAGAGGGGTAGAGCAAGGCCCCCTGGTGTGAATAACCCACTTAGAGACAGTGTAACAGGTGCCTGAAACTGGGATTCTTGCCTACACCAGAGAAGACAGGTTACTACAGATGACATAAGGGACACACAGGCTTTTTCATCTATGACCTGGAAACCTCCTGAGGTAGTCTAAAAGTTTAAAGAAATAAATCAATAGCTAGATATAAATGTTTCTATATCTCTCAGTCGAAATTTGCATTTTCAAAAATCATTGTGTTTCAATTATGAATATCCAGCTAGATCTGATCATCACCTTGACCCCAAAACAGGGAAGTGAAAATCATTCTATAAAAACACGATCTGTTTGGTGTTAAATCGCAATTGTCAGTGGCGTTCACCTCAAAGGAATAAATATAACCATGTCAGCTGTGGTTTAAAAACCCTTTATTTTGGAGGCCAGTATAGTAGGGGAAAATATTTTCATGAGATGTGAACAAAATCTAACATTTATATTTGGGTAGTACTACTGAAAATTAAAAGTGTTTTATTGCTTTGGGGAAATATTTGCTATTTAAAACAAACACTGTGAAAAAAAACCCATTACGTTAAAATCAGAAATCAACATGTAAGCAATTGTAAATGAAAATTTTAAGGCCCCGGGTAAACTAAGTCAGGATTAAGCTTTTGTGTGTAACTAAACTCAGGGTAAGCTGTATTTACTAGAAGACCTCCACTTATTATTTCCACAGTAACTGTGAAGACAAGACCGGAGGCAAACACAGTGGTATGTGCCTATAATTCCAGCACTTGGGAGGCCGAGGTAGAAGAACAAGTTGAAGGTCAGCCTAGGCTACATAGTGAGTTCCAGGTCAACTTGATTTTATAGTAAGACCTTCTCTGCAAACAAACAAGACCTATAAGAAGTACCTGTATCTAAATAATCATTACATTTGTTTTCTAAATTTAGCAACTTCTATTTTCTATTCTATTAAGACTATATTTACTTGATTTATAGAAGATCAAATATATTTGAACATTCACACATTCATGTATGTATATGTATATACACATATGTGTATATGCATACTTATGTATCACAAAGTGATAAATGTAAAATATAATGATCTAGAATATCAATATGAAAATTTGGCCACCTGTTCATAAGGCTTGGGGGTCTCAAATATATTAGAATATACTACTACTTATATAGGTTAAAATATTACTTTTGGCACATGTCTTCAGTCCCAGCACTTGAAGGCAGACAGGTAATTTCTGTGGTTTTGAGTTCAGCCTGATCCACATAGAGTGTTATAGGTCTGCCAGGACTATGCAACCCTGTCTTTACAAGCTTTCAAAGTAATCACTTTACCAATGTTACACCAGTAACAGGTAACACCCCACAGAACTTGCTATGTGCCAGCCACTGTCTAACTGACTAATGCACACATCATCTGCATTTTCACTGGATTCTAAAAACAACATACAGAACAGAGCTCCAACAGTCTGGCTCCCATGGCCATGTTCCTTTCTCTGTGTTCTGTTGTCTCTAAATGAGTATCATCTAGGACAGACTTTGAGACTGCCTGCCAGCCAGTGACAGATCCGGGTACAGATTGTGTTTTTTGCTTCCTTTACCTTCACACTTTTTCCACTCTCTCTTACTGTCAGAAAATAACCTCCTGATACAGGAACAATTAAAAAAGTGAAACAAAATGAAGCAAAATCAAAACAGGGGGGCTGGAAAGATGGTTCAGAGGTTAAGAGCATTGACTGCTCTTCCAGAGGTCCTGAGTTCAATTCCCAGCAACCACATGGTGGCTCACAACCATCTGTAACGAGATCTGGTGCCCTCTTCTGGCTTGCAGGCAGAACACTGTATACTTAATAATAAATAAATGAAATTTTAAAAAATCAAAACAGGACAAAAAATAACAGAATAAAATAAAGTGGTTCTTGACAAAACAGAGCAACAGGATGCAGGAGGCCTGAACACTTAAAGCTGATAAGCCCATCTCTGTTCATGTCTTTTCTGTGCGGTGGGAAGACTCAAAGGATGCCGGGGGCTGGAGAGAGGGCTCAGTGGTTACTGCCCCGTGTAACTCTTGTACCCATGTCATGCGGCTTACCGTGGCCTGTAATTTAGCTCAGGGGATCATGTGTCCCTTCTGGACTCCTGGAGTGCCTGCTCTCACACATGCATGTGCATACGCACACACACACAACTAAAAAATAACAAAACTTTTTTAAAAGGAGAAAATTTTGTTTTATTTCATGAAAAAGTCTAGATCATCTTGCTTCTTTGAATCCTCGACAGCTCAGGCTCTGGGGAAATGAAGACACATGTACCATCAGCACATACTCCCGAACAAGGCTCCTTACCTATTTTTTCAGGCTTGCTGGTCAGTGCTGAGAAAGTGAGGTATGTGACATAGCAGCTTATCAGCCCCGACTGCAACAGCCCAGAGTGTGGCCGTCCTGGGAACAAGAGACAGATGGAGGCAGGCTTGACATCCCAGCAGCAAGACACTGGACTAAAACAGATTTCCCTCCCCACGATGAAGCTCCTTAAACTTGTGCCCACCTTTACCAGGGAAAACCTAATGAAGTGTTTGTCTTAGAAAAACATTAAAATTGAGTGAGGGTATGCCTACTCTTAACACTGCTATTTTAAAGACACCAAATTCTGTCCAACTTCTTCATAAATAAAGCTTCAAAACCTATAACTACACAACACAATGCCCAGACCCCTGAGGGTTTTTAAGTGTGTGTGTGTGTGTGTGTGTGTGTGTGTGTGTGTGTGTGTGTGTGTGTGTGTGCATCAATGGATGGATGCATGGATGCAAGGATGTATACATAAGGTACACAAGTACCATAGCATGTGTGGAGTCAGAGAACAACTCACAGGAGTCACTTCCCTCCTTCTACCTTGTGGGCTTCAGGGATTAAATTCAGGTTCTCAGGCTCAGCAGGAAGTGCCTTCACCTGATAAACCATTTCCCAGGCTCATCCCCCTGAAGCATGTAACATTAGTTCATAAATCACAAGATGAGAAGAAAATCAGCATCACTGTTTAGCTTAGTGAGATACAGACAAATCTCACAGAACATGTGCAGATGTACAAGGCCATTAGATAATCCGTGAAGCAAGCACTTAGCTGTGACAGACAGGAAACAACAACAAAACACTCTTGGCCATACTAAGTACAAGACCTAGTCCAGACTGCAAAGAAAAACTACGGGACATGGCATTCACTGGAACATTGCATTCACTGGGCAAGGAACTTTTAAAATTGTAATTATTTAAGTTACAGTTCAGAATTGGAATAATTTAGAGTAATTACAGAATCTAGTGGCATGGGCTCTCTCTTTGCTAAAATTTTCAACCACCTGTTTGCGTGAAAGGATTCAGGCTTCCTTCTGGTTAGAATTCCTTCTTAAATTACCATTATTCAATTATAATTATCAATAGAAGTATAGTAACAAGCTCTTTGAAATAAGACATCCTTAGAACTAATGGCATTAAATAAAATGTTATGCCTGTTTCAGAAGGTAGGATTGAATCCAAAGGAAATTTTAGTCAGCTTACCAATAGTTTGTTTTACGAAATTCTTTACTGATCAGTTGCAGAGATTGGGAGAATAATCATTTGCTTCAATTTCTGTAATGCAGTTGAAAACTTAGTACAGATACTAAAATCATTTGCTAATCCTTAGCTACTTCCTTTTTCCGTGAAGGGATTGAGTCTCACGTAGCCTGGGCTGGCCTCAGACACCTCTGTGCCATCAAGTCTGGCTTTAAATTTCTGATTTTCTCATTTCCATCTCCTAAGTACTATGATTACAGGCATGCGTAAACATGTCTGGCTTTTCGAACCCACTGTTTTGGAAAGGATTCAAAGGGGTTATACATTTATTATCCACATGTCATTTTCCTACCCAGAAGTCGGAATGGTATGTGCAACTTAATCACCTATAGAGTAAGGTTCCTCAAGAAACACCAGACTGGGTACATCTTTTTAACTCTGAAGGCAGCATGGCTTCCTCACACAAGCTTACAGTATCAGAGGTAGTTTATTGATGACAAACCACACCTCTGCTTTCTATGGTACTTTCAACCCTCACTGTTTCTTCTGTGGCTCTGAAACCACCTGAACAAGGCCAAGCTCACAAAGACTAAGCACATTCCCATATAAAGGCCCCCTATAAACACTGTCTATCTTCCCATGTATTGGCTTAAGTTCAGATCTTTCTGGACACAAAGTAAACCTGGCTATCACCTCCAAATAAGCATGGAATATGAAGAGGAGACTTGAGTCCCCATCCACAGGAAGTTAAAGAATGACTTGAGCTTTCAAATAGCCACTGTGTTTGTCCAAAATGACAAAGAAAAACATACGGGAAAGGAGAAAGCGATGCTTACGGCTCTGGACACAGGGTGAGATGGCCGCCAGAGAGATGAGCAGGCACAGGCCACCATGCACTCCCAGCAGGATCTTGTTGTCCGTGCAGCCATCGTTCTGTGTGTAAAATACTGCCATCAGAACCAAGCCTCCGACAGCAATAGAGTACATGATGAGCGTCGCCAGGGACAGGAAGGCGTACCACAGCTTGTTACTGTCAGTGCCTGCATTCCTGTTTCTCCGGGAAGGGAGGTGGAGGAGAGAGAGAGAACAAGTCAGTGAAGGCCTCCAGTCTCTGGAGCTTTCTAGTCCTCAGATACTGGCTGGCAGGGACAGGCCCCCTCAGGAACACTGGCACCAGGATCAGAAGACACCTTGAGCAACGATGACACTCGACCTCAGCTAGAAAGTCTCAGTTATGCACACTGCTGACTTAGGCTTAGAACCATCTCTAAACACGTGCTTCTTCTCCTGCCCCAAGTGTGTTCCCCTCCTGAAATGAGCGTCCACCAGCTCCACCCTGGGCTCCTCCACACTAACGCTAACAGCGCTGGGGAAGGTAGTGGCAGCACTGAGGCATAAGCAGAAAGGGTAATTCAGTGGGGGTGGCTTGGCACTTCTTCTGTGAGTGCAGAGCCTGGCGTTGCCATGATCTCTCATGCATTCCAAGTGCCGCCAGCAGCCCCTCTGAAGCCACCTTCTCTTGGAGGAGAAACAACCAGTTCCACTCACGGAAGCCTGGCCACCCTCAGTTGTTTCTGAGTACTGAAAGGGGCCTGCACCAGGACCACCTCTCCAAAATACTATGAGGAAATATTAAGGGAGAAACATTACAGTAAATAAAATCAGGGAAAGAGGGGCTAGAGAGATGGCTTGATGGTTAAGAGTACTTATTGCTCTTGCAGATGACACGAGTTCAATTCCTAGCACCCACATCAGGCAGCTCACGACCACCTGTAACTCCACCTCCAGGGAACCTGAAGCTTCTGGAGGTGCCTGCACTCTCATGCACATTTGCCCACATAGACATGCCCATGTGTGCATGACTTAATAAATCTTTAAAGTCAGGAAAGAAAAGCTTCACTGGGGGCTGGGTGATATCAGTCAGGGAAGCACTTGCCTTATAAGCATACTTTAAAAGGCTAGGCATAGTGGCATGTACTTCTAACACCAGCACTGGGGAGATGGAAACAGCTAGACTCCTGGTACTCCCTGGCCTTCCAGTCCAGCCTACTTGGAGTGTTCCAGACCAAAAGGTGGACAGCATCTGCAGAATGACAGCTCATGCTGTCCTCTGGCTTCCACATGCATGCTCAAATGTGTTCACCCCTGTAAACATGAATAGGCACACACATATGCACACAGAAGAAGGGAAGGGGAGGGGAGGAGAGGGGACGGGAGGGGAGGGGAGGGGAGGGAAAGCAGGGAGAAAGGGAAGGTCTACTGGGATATACCATAAAGAATCTAAGAAGAGTCTGCTTTGCAGTTTTTACAGATATTAATGAAGGTCTGGGTAAGAGGTGTTCTGTGATTCTGTAGAGACTGTTCAGAACAATGAGGAGGTGTTACATATGCTAAGAAGAGAAGAGAGAGTAGAGGAAGATGGCTGACTGTCTTATGCCTCATGATCCAGCTGCTACTGGTGCCAGCAACTGTGCTCCCACAGTCATACTCCCCCATTCTTCAGAGAAAGCAGCGGCCTAATGTTTCCACAGAGCTGGAAAGTGTTTAAGCAACACAGCTAAAACGCTTTCACAACGGGAAGGGTCACTCTCAACAGAGACAGAGAAAACAGGAAGGAAGGCTGAAGCGATTATGACCATCATATTCCTGACACTAAGCCAGGCACTGATGACCTCAGGATTACCCCACATGAAAGTCACACAAAGAAAATGAGAGACAATAAGACACTGGCGACAAAGTGAAGCACACACCGAAGGGTGAACTCTGCCTGGTGGGAGGGGCGGGGCCAGCGTGCTCCTCCTCTGGTCTGTGGACTGTTGCTAGCATGTGAGGGATTTCTGTTCCATGGTAGTCCAGGTTAAGTATTCGGCCCTAGCTCTCCTGACTCCAGACTCTTCTTCCTTCACACATCATGCTGACTCCGTGTTCACTTCCGCTCCTCTCACCTCAGAAAGTGGCAACCGCACTCATTGTTGGGAGAAAGAGAAAACACAGGACCACGGGCACGTCCCTCACCTCCACACCCTCACCTCACTTCCAGAGCCCCCCGCACTTGCCCTGTCCAGACCACACCAGAATCCCACCACCTTTGCACCCTGGCTCTGAGCTCCCCACCTCAGCGCTAGCCCGCCTCACGCCAGCCTCCTTAGCATGCTCTATGGCCCTCTCTGATATTTTGTTTTTTAAGTTAAGAATGATTCAGCTACATTCTTCTCTTCAGAAGTCTTCTACTCTGCCAACATTTCATTTAAAAACCAAAGTCGTAAGTCTGGAAAGGCAGCACAGTGGTGAAGTACTAGCCTAGCAGATGCAATGCCCCAGGTAAGAAACAACGTAAAAAAGCCTTAAGCAGCCCTCAAAGGCACTATGATCTGGCATGGGGCCATCTCTGATAACATCTTCCCTACTCTTCCCACGCCATTGGGCCCCCCACACAGATGTCCCTCTGTTCCTTACACAAGCCCCGCAAGCTCAGGTCTGAGCAGGGTCCTCCCAAGGGACAGCCTGCTTTCCTGCACCCTGTATGGTGTAGTTTGCATGCACGAGCCCTTTATATAACTGCACGATTCTGTGTTGAGTATCTACTCCCCCACTATAACACTATCTGCTTTGCAGAGCAGGCGAGGGCTGTTCCTGCCTTGCTGCTACCGTGCCTGGGAGGCGTGAGGCTCTCACTGAGAATGCTGGAAAGAAATGACACAAGATGGCAAGGTGAGCAAAGAGGCTGTCGCTGTGTTGCTCCAGCCTCACCTGTGCTCCTGGTAGAGTCTTGCTAGAGGCCAACCCAGTCAGAACTGTGACTAATCACCTTTCCAGTCCCCGTGCTCAGGGCAGTGTTTTCTGGAGCACAACAGTTCAAAAAGATACTGCTGACCACATGCTGAGTAAGAAGCCCCAGGACAGAGAACAGAGGAGTACCAGATGATTGGCAGAGTCCACACACACGGCAAGAGGGCCAGTCTGGAAAGGCTGGCTGGGCACAGGCTCAGTGAGAGGGAGGACCAAACTGAACCCAACAAGGCAAATTTAAAATCTCAAATGTTTTCACCATCAACTCTCATTAGTAACACCTGAATATACCAGCTACCGTCTGTTACTTATTCAGTTATTTACTTATGGAGGCTGTGGCACATGTGTGGGGGTCAGAGGGCAATTTATGAAAGTTCTCTCCTTCTGCCACATAGGCCCTGGGGATTAAACTCAGGTCACCAGGCTCAGTGGCAAGTGCCTTTACCAAGTAAGCCAGCCAGCCAGCACCTGTACCTTCCATTATTTCAACTGTAATATAGAATTAACCTTTCAAATTGTGAATATGACCTAGATAGTAAAAAATAAAACAAAACCACAACTATTAAACATCCAATCCAATCAACCACACCATTTTATAGTACAAAATCAGGTGCCAGAGATTCCAACAAATATTCCTCAAAGTGACATTCCAGAATGGGGAGGGACAATAGATCTGTGTTCAGCTAGTTTGCAGGTCCATGTCATGTCTACTTTGTGGCTTTGAGGATCTTCTCTTTTGATATATTTATAAATGAAATAAAAGAGAAAGAAAAAGTGCCATCTAATAAGTTGTTCCTCTAAAGTCAGTCATCACATTTTCTGTGTTAGCTCTGAATCAAGTCTATTTAAGTCAAAGCAAAACAGAAAAGGGGGGGGCATAAAAGTTAAAAGAAAAAAAAACAATTTTAGTGAGTTCCCCAGCTTAGTATTAATTTTAGGCTGACGAATCATCTGTAGGTATGTTAATTTTTGTTGGGATTCTAGCCTCAAAGCAACATTGTCTGCAAATGCCTGTTTTTTTATGATTTGCTTTTGTGTGTGTATACATCTGTATAAATATATTCCACATGTGCAGTGTCCAAGGAGTCTAAAGGTGAGTGTAGCCCCCCTAAAACTGACGGTACAGGGGGGTACCAGCATTTGCAAGCCACCCTACATGGGTACTGGAACTGAGCTCAGGGTCCCTGGAAGAGCAGTGAGTGTTCCTAACTGCTGAACCACCAGAGCTCTCTTGAGTAGTTTCTAGAAAGTTTTCAAAGTGACCAAACTCTTCCAAGGGGAGCATTAAACTTTGGCATTAATAATCAGTCCCAGAAGAACTGGCTCACGAATCTGTTAAAGCACTCAAGGAGAGGCAGAAGCACAGATGTGCCCAGGGGAACATGCTGTGTGTGCACAAGTCAGGACTCAGTGTTCAACACACTAATATCTCAGCATACAGTACACACATGTAATAGACCTCCAGAACTTTTAGAGGAAACCTTGATTTTTGTCCAATACATAAGCCAGTATGCAACAATATTATTTAAAGTGCATTTCTAACTTGTTATGGGTACTTCTGTACAAAGAACACAGCACCCCTTTGCTGATCTTTAAGAAAACTCTACTGCCTCAAAATATGATCTAGAAGAGATGACAGCACAGATTACTAAAATTTAAGTGACTCAAAATGTGGACAGCATGCAGTAACTCTTACAATGGCACAAGTCAACCTGAAAATCTGAAATTGAAGAGTCAAGACTTTACAAAACATCAGAATAGACCAGTAAGGCTTCTGTGTGACCAGTCAGTATGGTTAATGGTTAGTGTGTGTGTGTGTGTGTGTGTGTGTGTGTGTGTGTGTGTGTGTGTGTGTGTCCCCTTCTCAAGAAGGAGTCCATTCCCCTGGAACTGTAGTCACAGGTGGCTATGAGTCACCTGATATGGGTGCTGGGAACCAAGCTTAGATCCTCCAGAAGAGCAGCAAGTGCTCTTAGCCACTGAGCCATCTCTCCAGCCCCAACATGTAAAATCTGGCCCTACTTGGCTGTACTAATCTAATATTCAAAGATGGCTGGCACTACATTAGTTCTTCACTGATGCACTCCACACGCACACAGGGGCCACATCATCACATGATGTTTGAGAAACAAAAGCAGAACAATGTCCAAGTTGAAGAGTATGTTCAAACCAGAAAGCATTAAGAAAGTCTGGACAACGCGCTTTGTCTTAATCAACATAAAAATAAAATGCATACCCACGTGTCACTGGCTTTTTGTTGTTGTTATTTTGTTTTTTGTTGTTTCGCCAAAACTCAGTATTTAAAAAATGCCTAGAAAAATCTATAAAAGAGCAGTCATAGTTCATATACGCATAGGATCCTAGTACTCAGGAGGCAGAGGCAGGAGGATCATGAACTGACAACCAGCCTGACCTGCAGAGACAGACAGACATAAAGCAATAGCTTTATTTGGTATAAGAAAGAATTATTTTAAAAGAAAAGATCTCCAACAACACCAAAACAGACAAAAACCAGAGCAACGGAGCACTCTGTGCAGAAACACAGACAAGGACAGGGCCTTTGTCTGCTTGTCGCTTCCTCAGTGTAGCTCAACAAGAAAGAACTAGCTATTAATAGGCATTTCCCCTGTGGTCCGGGATGTGAGTTTTGTTTCCAAGGTACTAAAGAGTCTATCATTTTACAGGCAAGACAGCTTCCTACAGCAGGACAGCACGTTTTCCCAACAAAGGGATGTTGTGTGTCTTGGAAAGTGGAGACAAAACATTTTCTTGAAGAAGAGAACTATTTCATTTTAGTCTTCACAGAGGAAGGAATCTCATGCCCAAAGCATTTGTGGCTTCTGTGCTTGTTCTGCTTCTTAAACTTGTAAGTGGGGGCCTAGATGAAGCATACTCAAGTTACAGAAACACAGGGCCTACACAGTCAGTCACAAAAGGCACAAGCAAGACAGGAAGGTAGAGAGGACAAAAAGCATAGAAGAGAAAAAGAAGAGAAAATGGAGAGATCCAAATGGACTGGAACCAGGGTGGAGCCTTTCTCAGTGGTAGGTACTTGATTTGTCTAGGTGAGTGACAGCTTTCCACAAAAACTACATACCAGTTCTTGTTCCATTTATGTGCAAACTCAACGATCAGGAGCAGCTGGATACCGATGAAAATGAAACTCCCCACCACTCCCACATAGCGCCAGGCTGCAAAAGAGCACACCGCCCAAAGGACAGGAAGGTGAGCACTGGATGCGCTTAACTCGAGAGAAAATAAACTTTTGGTTCATGTTCATTATACCTCTAATACGTTCAGTCCCGCACAACCACACAAGGTAGGTAGTACCCTCATCCTGACTTGTCAAACACGGGAGAAGAACTGGGAGTCTGAGGGAGTTGACGGAATCTAGAGTCACTAGAGAAATGGGCCTCTAGGCACACCTGGAGGGGTCATCTATGCTAATTGAGACTGCCTAGCCGTCTTAACTGTCAGGACCATTCTAGATGTAAACTGGAGAAAGCCACCTGAGCACATGAGCAGGCATTTTCTGCTCTTCCTCACAGGTTTGTGACCAGCTACTTGAAACGCTTCTTGAGCATCCTTTCTCCTTTACTTTGCTGTCTGGGTATTTTATCACAGTCTCTCGTATATAAAGGGCATGGCTGGGACTTGGACATCAGCTGGAGCATCCAAGCTGAACCTCATGCTGAGCTGACAGCTGTCTCAATAGATGCAGGAGTTCACAAAGTCCACAGTGGCCCCTGATTCACAAGCAAGAAGAAATACTGCTGGGAAATATTTAAATGAGCTTAAATCTCATTGGGCAATGAGTCTTGACTATCCAGTATGGAAATGAGGTGACAAGAGCTCACACCTATTTTGGGCTCTGTATATAGTGACTATAATGTCAGATGAACCATGCCATGTAGGTTGCCATGTGGGTCTATAAAAAGATTGAGCTAGAGCTGGCCTGAGGACTTTAGATCAACTCTCACTCTAGATTCCTATCTCCAATATGCTAAAATATACATAAAAGTTATCTCTGTGGAGAATAAAAACTAGTTAACAATGTTATAGCTAGAAGGACAACTTAGATACACCATTTTAAAAAGCCTATGAAAAACTGACACCAGTGTTACACCAGTTACACATATAGTTACACCAGTTACACATATAGTTACACCATATAGTTTACATCCCTAAAGGTGCAGCTGGACCCTAATATCTAGGACATCGAAGGAAGTATGGCTGGTGCCTATGAACTGCCATCTTCATTCAGAAAGTGAATCAATTGGGGTTGAATGAAGTGTTTGATTCACTGTAATTTAGATTTCATCCCATTCTTACCTGTTCCTTCCCTGGGAAGAGGTCCTATACTAAATACAGATAAAGAGTATAACTTCATGTTTCCTAACTTCACAGTTAGGAAAGTGTGTTTACAAAGTTTAGTGTGTTTAGAAAGAGACTGGAGAATGCCTTCCTTGTCCAATTCTCACAGCTATCAACTGTTTCACCCTGCCAGTCCTGTGTGGTTCTCAGAGACAACAAGGCCCCACATGGCATTCTAACAGGTCAGGTCTGTTTTCAAGTAAATATTAGAGACCTGCTTTATGCTCCAGGCCAATATGTTTATCATTCCAATTCCTTAGCCAACAGAGGCTTCTCACAGGCTGCCTACAAGTCGAGTAGGAGAAACAGGAGACAGGGGTGTGTAGGCAGGTAAAGCTGCCTTAAAAACCTCCTGTACATTGCTGGAACCAAAGCCAGGGTATTGCACTTGCTGGACAAGCACACAACCACTGAGCACCTAGACTTTCTTTAACACATAAAAGAATCAGTGGTTCAAAATATCAAAGGCACCGGGACACACTTTTGAAGAATTTTACAATGTGCAAAAACAAAATAACCGGGTACCCAGAAAACCCCATCTGTACCATTCAGGAAGGTCTCCTGATCTGGAATGAAGAATGCTCCCGAGCACATGGCCCCCAACAGCAGAAACTTAAAGAACCAGAAGCTGGGAAGAGAAAAGAGGAAGTACATTTAAATGATATTCAAGTTGGACAAAAGATCTCTCAGAAGGTAGCATGCCAGCCCGTGTTCCTGTCATTGGTAGTCTTCTCTTCAAACCAAGAGGAAATGATGAAGTAACTACAGAATGCCTTCTCCCATGATTAGGCACACTTGGCATGGCTCTGGCTGTACAAAATACTATTTCAGGGCAGGGTGGAAATGACTTGAAACAATAAACTCTCTGTGTATACTGAATCTGTCATCACAACACCAGGCATTACAAAAACACTGTCGCTCTTCAACTACCAGTGACATGCAACCCATCTTCCTCAAACCAGGGTCAAAACTGTAACCAGCAGATGGTTAGGGTTGGTGGGCAGAGGGGTCCTGGAACACCCTTGGGAGGACAGAAGACTTACCCATTGTGGATGTAGGCCCGGCACCCTTTGCTGTTGTTGACCTTTAAGGTCAGCAGGCAAAACACAAAGAAGAAACAAGCCATTCCAAAGCAGACTCGATACACCGCAGAATACCCCACCAGGTTCTCACAGGTGTTACCAGCTTTAATGCCTTTACAGAAATCTTCAAAAAAAGGAATCTGGGGGAGAAGGAGATACAAAAGCTGCCTGTTAGAACTGGACTGGAGGGAACCATCTATGAGTGCTTGTTCATCCTTAAGTCAAAACCCATGGTAAAAATAGCTATGTGCACAACAAAACTAAGACTGAACAAAAAACTTCACATCCTCTAAATACTTTATAGCTAGAGAGAGGCTCAGCAGCTAAGAGCATTTTCTGCTCCTCCAGAGGACACAGTTCAATTCCCAGCACCCACATGGTGGCTCTCGAGCTCTGGGATTCCAGTTCCAGTGGGTTGCTTTCCTCTGACCTCCAAAGGCACCAGGTACACATATAGTGCACACATACACTTACAGGCAAAACACCCTACACCAGTTACACCAGGTACACATATAGTTACACCAGTTACACCAGGTACACATATAGTTACACCAGTTACACCAGGTACACATATAGTGCACACATACACTTACAGGCAAAACACCCTACACCAGTTACATATAGTTACACCAGTTACACATATAGTTACACCAGGTACACATATAGTGCACACATACACTTACAGGCAAAACACTCTACACCAGTTACACCAGTTACACATATAGTTACACCAGTTACACATATAGTTACACCAGTTACACATATAGTTACACCAGTTACACCAGGTACACATATATGTGGGGACACTGGACCTTGAGCAGAAACCCACTTCCCCTTCGGCCTGGGATCAGGCAGCTGTGTAATGTTTACTGAAAACAATTCAGTGCTATAAAGCTCTTGATAGGGCTCAGATAAGGGCTCGCTCACTGAGATACCATGACTTTCACACCCCCTACGGCTAGATGCCTCTTCCTGTTCCCCTGCTGTGCCCCCCCCCCATTCTGGGGCCGGGAGATTAAACCACCAGCCAGGAGGGTGAGAAGTCTGGAAAGAATTGTATGTAGATGGATGGCAGAAGTCCTTAAAAAGGGGAAGTGTTTTTTTCTTGAGGAGACTTCTCTCTCCTAAGCGGACTTGAGTTCTCCTCCTAAACTGATTGGGGAAGCATAAAGTTTTCTTAAAGCAACCGACCAGTCTCTGTGTCATCTATCCCGACCACCTCGCTACATTCTCGGATGCAGGCTGCACAGCAGGTGCGACACATAGTTACACCAGTTACACCAGGTACACATATAGTTACACCAGGTACACCAGGTACACATATAGTTACACCAGTTACACACATAGTTACACCAGTTACACCAGGTACACATATAGTTACACCAGTTACACCAGGTACACATATAGTTACACCAGTTATACCAGGTACACATATAGTTATACCAGTTACACCAGGTACACATATAGTTACACCAGTTACACCAGGTACACATATAGTTACACCAGGTACACATATAGTTACACCAGGTATACATATAGTGCACACATACACTTACAGGCAAAACACCCTACACCAGTTACACCAGGTACACATATAGTGCACACATACACTTACAGGCAAAACACTCTACACCAGTTACACCAGGTAAACATATAGTTACACCAGTTACACCAGGTACACATATAGTGCACACATACCCTACACATAAAATCGAAAATATTTTTAACATGTAAGGACTTTTTCTTAATTTTCTTTAAACCCCCTTTCAAAGACACAGTACCTCTAAAAGCTCTGTTCAATCTTTATTTACTCCAGTGATTTTCAATATCCATTGCAGTTATGCGGTATAGGTGTGTACTTGAAATACACAATATATAACATAAAAAGTGGTAAACTGCCTACATAATCACTCCTTAGTTGATGAGGGACTTTTATTCATTTACAAATAGAAATGTATGTATACACATCTATACAACACATATATACAGATACACACACCTATACACATTCAGGTAGTACTATACACATTATATATTCACAATGTTTTTTGTTTTTGAAGATTCAGGGCTGTGGATTTGGCTCAATTGGTAGAGCATGCATGAAGCCCAGGGCTCAATCCTAAACATCACATAAAAAAACCAGGTATGGTGATATACACCTACAATGCCAGCACTCAGGAGGCACATCTCTCCAGTCCCAGAAACACAAAGAGAGAGATAGAGAGACACCTATAATGACAGTACTCAGGAAGCACATCTCTCCAGTCCCAGAAACACAGAGAGAGAGACACCTATAATGCCAGCAGTACTCAGGAGGCACATCTCTCCAGTCCCAGAGACACAGAGAGAGATATAGCGAGACACCTATAATGACAGTACTCAGGAAGCACATCTCTCCAGTCCCCAGAAACACACACACAGAGAGAGAGAGAGAGAGAGAGAGAGAGAGAGAGAGAGAGAGAGAGAGAGAGAGAGAGAGAGAGAGAGCTATAATGACAGTACTCAGGAGGCACATCTCTCCAGTCCCAGAGCGGGAGGCAGGCAGGGGAGATAGAATCTTCCTTGAATGTGCTGCTGTTTGGGTAGAAGGGAAGTATGGCCAAGAAGGTCCAAGCACAGGGACAAAGACAGTGCAACTTGGACTTTCTTCACAAACATAATCTGAGGCACTGGAGAGCATCCTTCTGAGCCACCCCAATGTGCACACCTTGTCACCGCTTCAGAGTAGTGATGAAAAGTGAACAAAGACATTGGAAGCACCCACATGAGGAAATGAGGGAAGCCATGTGAGTGTTTTCTGAAGTCAGCTGGTTGTCATGAGTGAGATCTGTATTAGAATCTCCACATGGTGAAGCAATGATGAGCTGGTGAGTCTTCACCATCATCTTGAGCAGGCTGAGAGACTCCCAGGGGAGCAGTGAAGAACTCTAGGTGGCTGGGTTGGTGTTTCCATGACCGTGAGCTCATGACAACTCTGATGTAACGGATAATACGATGGTGATGAAAAGTAGGAGATAGAGCATAGCTGGGAAAAGGAGGTAGCTGGGTGATGTATTTTGTTTTATTTATCTTTGAGGGTTTCACACATTTTAATCATATTCTTTCCATTTCTCTAACTTTTCCCACATCCATGCCCCCTCTCTTACCCACTCAATTACATGTTATCTCTTCTCTTAAAACAAAACAAATCAAAACCAAAACACATCCAGTCCAATTTGTGTTGCCAACTATTCCTGAGAAAGAGCCTGTCTTGGAGTACAGTTGATACAGTGTGACTCCATTGAAGAAAGATGATTTTTTTTTTCCTCTCCCAGCATCTATGTTGCAAATAGCTTCCTGGCTAGATGTGGAACTTTGTCCTAACTTGCCTCCCTCTCCATGCTGGAGTTTTGTCTGAATTAATTTTGTGTGGATCTTGTACACGCTGTCAGTCTGTGAGTTCATATAATGCATCAGTCTTGATATATCTGGAAAACGTCATTTTGTGGAGTTGTCCGGAAAATGTCATTTTGTGGAGTTGTCCGCCACCTCTGGCCCTTTACAATCTTTCCTCCTCCTTTCCTGGGCTGTATCTTGCCCTGACTTCTTCCTGTGTGTTCCTTTTTTCTACTTTCTGTGCCATGCAGAAAACAATCAGTCTCTCCACCACCACACATTCCCATAACAGGCCCAGAAATACTGAGCTACATGACCTCGAATCCTCAGAAACCATGAGCTAAAATTATTAATTCCTCTGTAAGCTGTATCTTTTAGGTACTTACTCGAGTAACAAGAAAAGTTCCTTAATATAAGTGGGGACCTGAAACAAAGTTACTCTTTCAGAGTTTCAACTTGCCAAAAGGAAGTCACTCTATATGAATAGTACTGGTGACAAGGACTTATGCTTTAAATCAGTAAAAATTATTTACAAAGAAGAAACTTGACAAGCTCACTTATTAGACAGATACGCCTTTTGACAACCATGTTTATCTTGTGCACTGGTGTTTGCCTGCATGTGCATCTGGGTGCCACATGTGTGCAGTGCCAGCAGAGTATCAGAAACCATGGATCCGGACGAGCATCAGCTGCCCTGAGTGACGGAACTGACCTCTGGTCTCTGTAAGAGCCACAAAGTTCTTAACTGCTAAACCCCTGTCCCAGCCTACATGATTTGCTTGTCCAGCACACCCACAGTTGTATTCCCTTGTTTCCTCTTTCACTCCCTTCCTCTTTTTATTTTCTTAAGGCAGGATCTCACCCTGCAGCCCAGGTGAACCTTAGACTAACAGAAACCCACCTGCCGCAGCCTCCTAAACGCCAGATTACAAAACTTGTCTTTTCCCTCTGAGTGCACAACCTACTGACCCCCATGCACACCACAATACATGCACACTGGCATGTTCCAACTACACCAGCGCTTCTTGTGCCTTTACTCCCACCCTTTCCTGCCTTTACTCTCCCCCTGAACACGGGCACACAAGACTTCTCTGCCGCTATTCCCAATAAATCCCTGCCTTGTTTACTCCAGTCAAAGCTCTGCTGTGGCCACAGACCCTGAGGCACATAAAGGAGGAGTATGTGGCACTGCCACTGTGATCCAAACTAAAAGTGGGCAAATAAACTCTGCTCTAAATACTGACCAAGCCCCCTTTATGCTCTGTGGGTGACTTAGCGCATTTAGCCTTCAATAAGTGGTGAGTATTTTTAGGCAATAACCTCCAAGTTGAACAAGATTTTAACAAGAGGAATTTGCTCTGATTAAATATTTGCTGTTCCAAACTCTATTCCAGTTTTGGGAAAAGAAAACATACATTACACACAGATTCCATACTCAAGGGTGTTACCTCTTAAGTCTGCTCTGGGCATCCAAGGACATCACACACCGAGTTTGTGTTCTGTGCAGGCCTCTGGGAACAAGGACTTTCCTCACATTCCATACAGAAATAAAACTCAAAGCCAAAACCGTCAAGTAAGAATAAATAGTTTACACGGAGTTTCAATTCTGACTTTGCTGCTCACCTGGGTAAGTATCACCTCCCCCACTGCCAAGTTCTCTCTATATAAACGGAAATAATCTCATAGTGTTGCCCAGAAAACTCCTCTGATTAATCCCTGTGAAAGGGTAACTACAGCCCCTTACCCAAGGAAGTCATTACACTCG